CTTTCCTTTTTTAGAGTGAGCCTAGCATGCGCCTATACGGCTCTTGTGATCTACGAGGTTGTTTTGAGAGTTTGCCCGAGGTGGCAAATGAGGTTGTGGAGCTTTCGAGGATCAGCTCCTAGATGGCGGCTCTTTGGGATTTATCGAGTCAGCCTGCGTCGTCGGCTTTCCTTCGTGGATTGTTGGAGTTTTGGTGGGATTCCACCAACACATTTCACTTTCCATTGGGAGAGATGACGGTTACTGATGAGTGATATTTATGTCACTCCTAGGGTAGTTCTTTCTAGTAGTTTTAGCAATAATTCGGTTCATCCTAGTGTGCTTTTGTTATGTTTTGCCTAATTTAAGCAGTCTACCTATGTGTTGCGTAATGTGTTTTTATTTGGTTTAGGTAGGCTTTGCTCCCCTCCCTCTTCGTTGTATTACGCTTCGCCTTCCTATTTTGTAATTGCAGATTGATTGCGGTTCGAATTGACAAGGAGCCAGAGCAAGGATCGAAGCATTGAACCAGCAGTTTGGAGCGGGCGCGCAACTATAGGCGCGGGCGCGCCACCTTGGGCGCGGGCGCGCGACTTCCTGGCGCGGGCGCGCGCTGAGCTGGCCCAATCCTGTGACACCCATTTTTGAGCGGGTGCGCTTCTTGAGGAGCAGCTGCGTCACCATCTAGCGCGCGGGCGCGCCGTTGTGCAGCGCGGGCGCGCCTGTCTGCTGTTGTCCTTTACCTGAAATCATATTTAAAAAGCAGAGAAGAGGAAAGAGAAGGCAACATTCATTATTCACATATTGAAACTTTCAGCATACTCTTTAGAGGAACATTCTTAGCATAGATTTTAGCTTTCTTATATTGGAAATTCTTCCATAGATCTTAGTGTAGATCTTCAATTTATCAATTTTAGCTACTTTGGGTATTTTGAGGAAGCATTTTGGAACTCTATTGGTGTTTGTCATCTCACTTGGTATTGAATGAAACTATTGATATTCTTCTTTTTATTCTTTTGTTATATGCTTAAAGTTCCCATCTTTGTTGGTTTAATTGGTGAAATTATCATCTCTCTCATTAATTTCTTAATTACTTTGTTGATTAGTGTAATTGTAGTTAGGGTTATGTATTGTGAGTAGTTTTCTTATTTCTAGGGGTTTGGTGGAGACATGCTTTGAATTTGATGTATGATAGGCTAGGCTAGTTTGGAATACTTGCAATTAAATCTTCCTTGCGCCTATACTTTTTGGCTAATCCATGTTTATGGCCATATGCATGTTGTGGTTGAGTGACTTGAATTAAATCATGACGATAGTGTGATTTAGGAATAGTCATTGGGTGATTGATTATTGTCTAACCTTAGTATTGCATGCCTTATGACGATAGTGTAAGTGCATGTTAACTAGGAAAGCTCTTAATCCCGATAGGTGATTAGAGAGTACTCTTGACTTTGCCTTGTATAAGTTGCTTGGTTTGCATGTAAACCTACTTCCCTAAGCCTAGCTCCATTGACTTCATAGCATGTTCGACCCCTACCCCTAGCATTTATTTTAACTAATTTTACATACTCTTTAGTCATTAATTCATCCACTATTTTCCTTGACCGAACTAGATTAACTTTAGGAGATAGATAGCAGTGCTTAATCGTTTCCCTGTGTTCGACCCTTGACTTGCCTCTATACTCGTTTAGTTGCATGTTTAGGACCACAAATATCATTTGATAGAGGTGTCTTAGTAACGACCTAAAATACCCTTTGTTAGTTACCCCTTGCGATTTCTCTATGATTACGGGTTTTCCTTTTGGAGGTGAGCCTATGGTTATGGAGGTCGTTAAGGGTTCAGACGAGAGACTCTGTGACCTCGTGGGGGATCGTCTTGCGGCGGCCCTTCATATGTATGCGCAGTCTTGTCCGTACTCGGTTTGGCTGACGAGGTTGATCGGCGGTGTACACCTGAACAGCTAGCTCGGATATACATTGCTCATGTTCTTTCCGTCACTATCTTGAGTGATCGGGGAGAGCGTTTTGCTATTGGGTTACTTTTCTGCCTCAGTTATTTGGGGCAGGTAGGTAACTTGAGTTGGGCGAAGGTGTCGTATGCCCGTATGCTTACAGCGATGGGCAAGGCGACCCGGGTGATAAATTCCACGGCAGCTGCTGAGGTGCGTCGGATCTCCCTTTCGTGGCATGGTCGTATCCTTGAGGTGCGTTCTTATCCTTTTTTTCTTATCTTTTAATCACCATTTTTGTTTTCTTTTTCTTATTTTTTTTTCTTCTTATAGGCTTGGGGATATTCGTACTTGCCTTTATAAGCCCCTAGGATGCTCGGGGATGCTCGTTTTCCTATCGGCCATCGATTGGTCACGATTAAGAAGAGACGAGCCACTTCAGTCAGCGACTTTTAATAGATGATCCTTTCGGCAACTCGTGCGTCGGTGAGTATTTCAACCACATGTGCATCTTCTCTTCTGTTATTTTTGTTTATTTTCTGATGATTTTTCATGTGGCTGTGTTTATAAATCGATCTTCGTCCTTGGAGTTTGATCGTTGAAGTCCCTAAGGCTGTCCGGTCTGGCATGATTCGTTGCCGTTTCCGGGACCTTTATCAGGGACTTCCCGTCCTCCAGAGGACAGACGCTTGTTGTTTAGACGAGCGTGTTCTCTGGAAGTCTTCATCCGAGGAGCCTATGGTTCCTAAGGATCCTCCTATCCGGATGTTGCATCCGGACTTGCTGTCTACCAAGATCAAGCTCAGGCGATCCTTGGTTATCCGGCGGAGCAGCTGGTTCTGTCGGATGCATCTTACCAGGCTTTCATTGCATCCAGGCTGACTCCTTTCCCAGCTTTTCTTCTTGTTAGCATTTTACCATATGTTTTAATATTTTTCTTTTATTTTTGGAACCTTGAATCTCTTATTGTGTTTTCAGCGAATCAAGCTAGGTGGTTGGGTGCCTCCCACAGCGGAGGTCACGTATACCAATGCTTTTGGATCGGTAATTCGCGTGATTCTCCCAACAACGGAGGAGGAGGAGGACATACTGTATATTCCTGAGACTGTCCTTGTATTTGGAGCAGGTACCGCGAGAGACCGTGAACGGTATGGTGAGGACTATACTTGCTTTTCGAGCTGCTTATCGGAGAGCCCTCGTGGCTTTATCATGTCGTGATCATCGGATGGCCGCGGTAAGTTTATTTCTTTTTCAAAGTTATTAAATAGTTTTGTGTACTAATCTTTGGTTTGGATTTTACAGGATGTACATCAGCCGTTTGGGAGTCGTTGAGCATCCTGACCTCCTTTGTATTTATATATATTTTTTGGAAACATATGTACATATAAATTTTTTTATTATTATTATTTTTGTACATATAACACACATTTTACATATATATGTCATTATTTTTTCTTTTGTTTTCATGATTTTTTTTAAGTAAAGCAAAAAAATATCCCGAGGGAGGGAAAGGGTTCTCGACTTACCCCCTAGAAAAACTAACAAAAAGGTACAAAGAAAAAAGGACATAAAAAGGAAAGTGAAAAAAAAAGAAAGGAAAAAGAAAAAAGAAAGAAAGAGAAAAGGAAAATAAGAAAATAAATAAAATAAAATAAAATAAAGCATAAAAAATTACACAAGAGTTAACAAAAATTTAGCGTATGATAATTCATAAGATCTTGTCAATATTCCGTTACTATGGAGTTCAAAATACGGAAATAAATTAAAACGATATATCGCGATATACTAGACGCGCGCAACTGTATGTCTTGCTTGTAGCTGTTGCGCGCATGTGAATCGGTTGCGCGCGCCACCTGCGGGTGAAATTTCCTTAGAGCGAAAATTGCCAAAAATTTGCCCCTCTTTGGTCTATTTAAGCGTGGTTTTGTGTAGGATTTTGATCATCTTGCATTCATTCGCTTAGTAGTGTTATAAAGAATTAAAAAGAATTAATCTCTCTAAATTCTTTCCCTCTCCCCCTTTTTTTACACATTGATCAATGGCAAAAACCTTTGAACAACAGTTGAAGCAATGGGTCACTTCCCTTTCAATTGAGGATAAACTATCCTTCAAAATATACCACCTTAACCCTCTATTCAATTATATGCAACTTGTTATAAACTTTTATTTTGTCCATGCTTCTGTCACTCATTGGGACTCGAACCACCATCTATTTCTTTTTAAAGGGGATGAAATTGTCCCATTACCCGGGGAGTTTGAGGCTCTACTAGGCTTCCCTACAAATACTCTCACTGTGACATATGCCCCTAACTTGTCGGATCCCAAACCTGTTTATCAAAGATTTTTTGGTTTGAGTGACAATGATATGGTTAACATTGGAAAAGAATAAGGCGTGGATTTAGTTAAATGTATTGAACATTTCGTCACACCTCGTGACAACTTGACTAAACAACGTTTTGAAATTCTTGCTTTATGTTATTTCTTGTTGTCAATTGTTTACTTAGGACAGGTAAAGAATACGGAGATTATTCCATGGTTTCCATAGTAGAGCAAATAGAGGGATGTCATTCACCTGCTCTCTTAGCTTTGGCGGAAACCGTTCTATGATTGAATCGCCTTAGAGGAGACCCTAACGAGAATGGTTTCACAGAAGGTCCACTCCTATTACACGTACGTTTTTTTCGCCGTAAAGCAGCTCAAGTTGGAAAGTTACGCTGGCTTGTCCAGCGCAATCGTCTCCGATACGTGTGGCTGGCGCGCGCAACTGATTTTGATGCGCGCGCCACCTACTCGTGTAATTTTGCAAATTAATTTTCCTCGTTTTTTTAGATTTGGCTCATGGAGCGCTTGTGAATCATTGAACACACTACTACAAAATGAGTCTTTTCTCAACGCTTTAGCCTCGACGCTTAGGCAAGGGCATCAAGTGGTAAATATAATGTGCGTGTTTTCTGGACGCCTAGATTGATTTTAGACATAAATAAGCGTCGAGAACAGCACGTGCAAGACTCGTGAGTGTAATTGGCTCTACCAACGATTTCAAAATTTCAGAAATAATAAAACCACCCATAGTACTAAACTTTAAAACCCTTTTCATTTCTCTGAGTTGTCACATCTTAACCCTAACTATTCATCTCTCCTTCATCTTACGAAATTCTGCAAAGTGATTAAGAAAATCATGGATTTCAATGTCAGATCTTCATTTCGTTCCCTTGGCACCGCTCATCAATAATTTTGCTTGCCTAATTTTCTCTTCCTGCCGGCCTTCAATGGTGTTTAATTTTGTCTTCTCATTGTTAATAAAATTGAGGTACATCCTTTCCTTTTGGGCTTCATTTTTTCTTCAAATCGAGTCCTATAGCTTGTTTATAGAGTTTATTTTACAATAATCTCACGAAAATTTGGTCTGAAATGGGTTTGATTCATGAGCAATTGATATTTCAGTGTTTGTTTATACAGATTATTGAGTTCAATTATGTGCTACCGTTCAAATAAAATTCTAGAAAGTTCCAAAAGAAATAAAGGTATTTTCTTCAAAATTTGAAAGAAATAAAGGTATTTTCTTCAAATTTATTTCAGATTTTGTTTTAATTGTATTATTGTTATGGCTATTTGTTTTGAATTCTTAATTTGTAGGGGTTTTGGCTAAATTATATGAAAGGAGACCCTAATTTCAGCCAGATCTAATCCTTTATGTTGAAATTCCAATTTCAATAAGCTCCTGATTCAATTTTCCTCTCAGGTTTGCACTCTGTTCCTCATGATGGTTTTATTTGATTATCATATTTCTTTTGGAATTTTATTATTTATTAGTTCAATTTGCGATATTAACCCTAGATTGTGTGTAATAACTTGCGATGCATAAATTCTTCAATATTCTTAGTGATTAGATTTTCAAATAGTATAGTTGCAATTGCTTAAGCTAATGATATTTTTATGTTTTTTGGACATAGAATCAATGAAGTAGTATGGTATCATTGCAGAAAAAATACTTCATTTAGAACAAAAACATTCCAGTATTCCACTATGTTGCAATTTATGCTACAAAAACTTTTTAATATTCTCTTTGTAACAATTAAAATGCATAAATCAATTTCATGATTTCTGTTCTACTAGTTCTTGTTGCTTGAGAATTGTCTTTTCTCATCTTGAATTGCCTTTTATTTTGTTCAAGTCACATAGGGTTGAATTGTATAAGTCTAAGGTATATATTTATGTAATTGTTAACCATAAGTTTTTGGTTTACATAATCTGCAACTAAGCAAACCATGCTTCTAAGGATCCATTGCTAACAGTTGTTACGAAGTATGATTTAGTGGTTAAATTCACGTTGGATATGTTCTCTAGATATTTTTTTAGTTAAGTAATAGTTTATGGTGCAAGGTTAGAGTGGAGAATTCTATTGATAGCAGTTGCTAGTTGCTACGATGTACTCCTGTATCTCTAATTGTATTTTCTCAGGTATTTATCCTAACAGTATTAAAAGGAATCAAGCATCGTCTTGCTGTTGGTATGATTTTCTTAATTTTGTATAGTACTTTATGGGTGCAATCTCTTTATTCCATGAAGTTGAATATGTCTTCCTTATCATTTACATGAAGCCTTGACGTGTCTAGTATCATGATGATCTTAGAATGATTTCTATTTTGTCTTCATGTGCTTGTGTTGTATAAGAGTTAAGAAAAAGTAGCTTCAGCATTGTCATTTTTTTCGATCTTTAGCTGACCATGGTCTATTATCCATCTAATGATGGTCCTTTTATCCATAGTTTATCTCACTTGTGTTTTGTATCTTGTCGTATGCTTGAACCGTGATATTTAGCATATAATTTGTAGTCATCAGATTGTGCTATAACTATTTTATAGATGTACATGTTATCATTTTGGCTCTCTCTAGCTCTTTATTTCCCTTGTACTTTATCTTCTGAATTTGCTATTTGTATACTTATGAGTTTATGACTCAATATGAGCTAGATCAGTGGGAAATAGAAACGAATTGTGTGGTATATGAATGAAATATCCCATGTATTATCCTGGGATTGGTTCTCTACCGTTCTATACACTTTTTTCATTGGTAATTCTCAAAAATCCCTTATTTCTTCAAAACACCCATAGCATCAAAATTATAACAAAGTTGTTGTTGTTGTAGGATGCTGACCACACTGTTGTCGCTCGACCTTGCTATTATTGCTGCTCAATAATGTTGTTGTGTTGTTGTTGCTATTTTCTATTTGCTAGTTATTGCTACTTCCTGCTGTTTAGCCTTCTTATTTCTTTGTTGTTTTCCTGTTTTAGGTTTCTTCATCACAATATTATGCAATTGGCCTATGCACGTGACCTTACCAGCACTTTTTCATTAGAACTAGCTAACATTAATTCACTAGTAAGGGAAGTAATTAACATTACCACGTCTTCTTGCCATTGAATGTCATATATGTATATGTATAGAATTGAACCAAGAGCAAAGATCAAGGCAACTTTAGATATTGTGAGCCGCTCTGATAATGTGCATAGAATAGATCAGCAATATAATGATATTTTGGGATTCAATTATTACATAAGAAATAGATCTTTAGTTTTTAAGGGAAAATGAATACTTTACCTAAAGAGCCTGAATCCAACCAAATGGTTTTGTCCTATTTTTTCTCAACACTTACTAGCTAACATGTCAACTTCCAATATGTTTCCCTTTGTTTAGCTAACATGTCAGCTTCCAATATGTCAGCTAACTTGTCTTCAGGGGGAAATCATTGATGTTTCTTTCTTCGCAGTTTGATTTTTTGTAAATAAAACGCACATATAGTTTTCAATTAATGATTGATTAAACTGTTATGATATGAATGATTAGCATTTTCAAGTCCTATAAGGTCATCTTTGTGCGCATGTTACTTGATAGTATCCTATCTCGTTAGATGATTAAGATTCTCTTCTTATATTTCTTCAGGCACTTGTATAATTACTAAGCAAAAATGTGAACTTTACTTAAAATGTTGGGTGCTTTTCCTGTGTTCTGATAATAAGTGTTGAAAGCATAAGTAGAATGAGCAAATACATTATCAGGCTCATAGCAAGGCTAGCCTACAATAAAGGGGATAATCCTCTTGTTAGCTCCATCTCTTGCATGCAGTACAGTAAGTCTGGTTTGATGTATCATTAGACAAAACAGACCCAGACTCGGTGAGACGCAAGATATAGACTTGCTTCCCATTTGCATCGAATAATCCCCAATTCTTTTCTGAGGTGGCCCGATCCTTTGAAATTCCCCTCAGCCTGATGTTTGTGTAATGCTTGTGTGTGTATCTGTGTGTGTGTGTGTGTGTGTAAGATTGCTGTTATAAGATTGTTGTTATAAGATTTCCAGCCTGACGTTTATAAGATTGTTGTTGTAAGTGTTAGCATTCTCAAAGACATTTGTGTAATGCTTGTGTGTGTGTGTGTGTGAAATTCAAAATGCTTGTGAGTGTGTCTGAAATTCAGAGCTTGTATGTGTGTGTGTGTGTGTGTGTATAAGCCTATATTGTGAAATGTACTAATTTGTACTGTGTACTTTTTTTTTTGAAGATTGGAAAAGGCAATGTAGGAGCAACAAGAGAATAGGCCGAGACACTTGAGCATAAAATAAGCGACTAAATCGTCTATAACGCCGTCATCTATCTAGTTTGGTTTTTAGTCTTATTTATATTAGTGATGTATTTATTTAGGAACAAGCTACTATAATATGCGACTTTTTTTTAATAATTATGTTGATGTTTTCTTTTATAAATTTGGTAATTAACTACGCACTCTTATTATTGTTGATTAATTATTGTTTTTTTTTAATCTGATCTAGTTGTATAAAATATTTGTTTATTTTAATTTTAATGTTATTAATGTAATTTATGATAAATTTAAATAACTATAATGTATATATGATGGTAGTAATTTAATAAAAGGAAAAAAAAAGCTTTTAAAAAAATTTTGTAGACGCTTTTTAATGTCTACATATTTTGCACATTTTTACATTTCAAGAGTTTTCCGCCATACCATAGGCTGACACGAATAAACGCAAGACAACAAAAAGCGTCGCTAAATTTGAGTATGTGGACATGTACAAGCATCGCTAAAAAACTACATAAATTTGGGATAATGCGTAAAATAAGTATTTTCCGACACTTCGTATATTAGTTTGGACACATAAAAGCGCCGATATTCTCGATGCTTTTTTGTGTCCCTCAAAATTCTCGACTCACGTATTCTCGACGCTCTTTAGCAGCGTCGAGAAATATATTTTCGACGCTTTTTAACGTCGAAAAATGCCTAAAAAGCGTCCAAAAAACACGCTTTTTGTAGTAGCGAAAGCCAGAAAATTTTGAGGCTCATGGAGTGAGAACATTCCCTGGACAACGAATTCTCTACAAACACAAGAATGGACGTCGTATTTCTGTCATGGTGTTCCCAACATACGCTTTGTGATTCCTTGGTGGAACATAAGTAATATGGTTGGGAATAGTTTTAATTGTCCCTATATTAAGCTTTTAGACCTATCTAGCACTACTTACTTTTTTCCTTATAGGGTGATGAGACAATACTGAATGAAACAAGTTATCCCCCCTTAGGATTGTGATGCTCCTAATGATGTGATTTTTAAACCTGAAAGGATCCCTCGTTAGATTGAATATTGGTCAAGTCTCCCTAGGTGGGTAGTACAAAGTCTTACTGCGAGCATTGTGTTATCCTCTTTCTACAAGGCTTGGATGAATGTGGCGGACAAGGATGATCTAAATAAGGCTCGATCACAAAATCAAGCCACCTCAGCTCGCAATACACCCAAACCTTTGATGCATTCAGCCAACACTACTCCTTCTAGTGGCCAAAACAAAAGAGTGAGAAGAAAATTAGACTTCTCATCTCCTAAGGCTCATTCAAGGGAACATAAGAGAAAGGCTCCTCCTAAACATGCGCATAAAGGGGTGAAGATTAAAGAACCTTCACCAAATACTCGTAAAAAGACCCCAACAATTGTTAAAGGAAAAGGAAAACAAGTTTCAAAGGCCCCAATCCCTTAATTGAAGAACAATGTTTCGGTTAAAAAGAAGAGTGAAGAGGAAAGCTCTAAGGTCGCTGAAACTACTGCGATGGAAACTACTCCTTCGTCTACTGTGACATTTGAGGATATAGTAAAACCTTATAGTGTTACACAATATGTCATTAGTTTAATTCGATTAAAGTGTAATCACTACTATGTTTTTTTTTTTAATTTATTATCTAGTTCAACAATGCCTCTTGTTTTATTTTATTTATTTATTTTTATTTTTTTTGAATTTTGAATGGAAATAAAATGAGCTTTATTATATGTGTGTGTGTGTGTGTGTGTTTGTGTGTGTGTATATATATATATGTATATATATATGTATATATATGTATATAAATATAAATATATATATACACATATATATATATATATCTTTTTTATATGACCGAATCATAAATATTGCCTACGTATTCGTATTACAGAATCAGGTCTTTGCGTAGATCTTTCCAATGTTTGTATTATTTTTTTTCATATTTTTCTTCAACCGATTAAGTTGCACGTGACATATGCGCACAACTGTATTAGTTGCGCGCGACACCTGTGCTACGAGTGTTAAAATATTGTTTTTCGCATTATAACCCCCCAAGTGTGAAGAGTTTTTTCGTGGTGTTCCAAAAAATCTGATCACTTTAATGGCATATGTTTTGTTTTTAAATTACCTCTCCAAGTGTTATGAACTTTACCGTTTTATTCGGTAGATTGCTTAACACTTAAAATCTTTTTATTGAATGCTAAAAAAAATGATTTATTTAATGAATGAACGAGTTTATCCGGATTTCATATGTAATATTTTTAAGTCGATCAATGTTTATTAGTTGGCGAATTTCATCACCTCTAATACCCATTAATCTAACAGCGCCTCCTGGTATAATTTCAATTACGTGGTAGGGCCCTATCCAATTAGGTTTAAATTTCCCTCTTGGATCGGTTTGTGGGCCTCTTACCTCTTTTAGTACAAAATCACCTTCTTTGATATTTCTGCATCGTAACCGTTTGTTAAAATGACGCGCAATGCATCGTTGGTAGACTTGTACATGATGCAATCGTCGTTCGTCGAGGAATAACAGCTCTTCATACCTCGCTCTTACCCATTGGGCTTCCGATAGCTTACTTTCGAGTACGATGCGTAAGGATGGTATTTCCAGTTCAACTGGTTGAACTGCGTCTATTCCAAAAACTAAGGAGTATGGAGTTACTCCTATTGATGTTCGTATGGACGTTCTATAACCCTATAAAGCAAAGTATAGTTTATTTAGCTAGTCTTTATAATTTCTGCCATTTTCTTAATGATGACTGTTATTTTTTATTTGCCGATTCTACAGCTCCATTCATTTGAGGTCTATATGGGGATGAATGATGGTGTTTTACTTTATAACGAGTTAAGAGGGTCTAAACTTTAGCTTTTAATTGAGATCCTTGATCACTAATTAGTTTGTGTGGAACTCTATATTTAAAAAATATGTTTCTTTCGAGAAACTTTGCGACATGTTTAAAAGTGATATTTTGTAAGAAGCGGCCTCGATCCAGTTAGTAAAGTAATCGATGGCTACTAATACGTACTTGTACCCTCCTGCTCCTGTTGGAGATACTTTCCCAATTATGTTAATTCCCCAAGTCGAAAAAGGCCAAGGAGAAGTGAGATTATATAATTCGGATGGTAGAAGGTGTTGTAAGTTAGCGAACATTTGACACTCTGGACATTTTTTAACATATTGTATGAAATCTTGTTCCATGGTGGAACAATAGTACCCTTGTCGTGAAATTATTTTTCCAAGCATTTTACCACTCATGTGAGGACCACAAACGCCTTTTGAGTATACACAATAAGCTTTGGCCGTTAGGCCCCTTTTTGCATAATTGACCATTTAATAGACCATATTGGGCCGCAAGTGTTCTTAGGACTCGTTGGTCTTTCAATAAAGTATTTTCAGGATATGTGCCATGGGTAATATATTAAAGGATATGATCATACCAAGGATTGTCTCCCTAAATGTCATTTATTTCCTCTATTGTGTTGCAATATGCCGGTTCTTCTCTTCTATCAACGCATGATGACATCATATTTAAATGATCTGGAATGTTGATCACTGAGGCTAATTTTGCTAGCGCATTGGCAAATTGATTATCATCCCTTGGGAGGTATTTACAATCAATATGTTCAAAATGCTCGATGAGTTGCTCTAGGTGCGCTTGTATAATATCATTGTGGAGTTCTGTATTTTCCATTTTTTTAGTATATGATTTATAATCAAATTAGAATCTCCAAATACCTCTAATTTTTGCACACCTATGTGTAGACACCCATTTGTGTCTCCCCAAAACCAAACCCAGTGATGAGTACCTTTCGCGTCGAATCATAATCGAATGAAGTGAAAGTGTGGAAAGTTTAGTGTTGCGGATAGTTTTAATTTCTTTTCTCTTCTCTCTGTTTTTAAAAACTTATTTTAAGAAAACAGCCAATCTAGTTTGGTTGGTCCATGATATGGGTCCAACAGTAGTGTAGTTGGATAGGGCTTGACAAGAGCTTTAACAATATATTATAAGCCCAATTCCGATGAATATTGAGGAAGTTATGGCCAATTTACTGAACTGGGCCCGGTTTGAGCCTTATATGCGGCTCAATGATCTAGGGGAGGGCCAAATATAGATTTATCATTTCCAATGCAATTAGGAATTGTTTTAGTCTTCTAGATTCTTCTAGAAGGTTCTTTTCATTCTTAATTCAATTAGCATTGATAAATTGACATTTGTTGACTTTTTAGAGTTTTAATTAAAATCAAAGAGCATTTTTTAGGAAAAATACGATTTTATCCTCCTGTACGGCAATTTTTATCTGATTTTAAGAAAACGCGTGAATTTCCAAATCAGCGCCAAAAGCCAGCTGTAGCGCCTGGCGCTAGCATTGGCGCCTGGCGCTAATGTTGGCGTCTGGTGCCAATAGCCAGCGTTGGCGCCAACTCAGTTTTATGTGCGCCAGAACTCTATTTTGATATGTTATCTTTTTGGCTGATTTTCTCTATAAATAACGTGCTAAAAACTTCGTTTTCATTCACCAATCATCACCAGTTTTCATCAACAATCATCAATTATCATTCATCTACAACCTACCAACTCTCATAAGGATTCTCTTGATTACTTACTCTCTCTCCTTCTCTTTTCTAAACTAGCCTTATACATACAAAATTCCGCATTCATTAGATCTAGACACATCTAGCCATATTCGAAGTTTCCTTCGTCCTAGACGTGAAAGGTTTAATTTCTGAGGGTTTGGTCCCAAATCTCTTTTTCAATTATTTGATTTAATTGTTTTAATTATTATTTTCCTTGAAGTTACTAAGGTGTGTATTTTGTTATTAGAAAGAGGTACGAGGCATCCAAGTAAGTACTTTAATAGTTTAATTGTTATTATGATATAGAATTCATGCTTAGATTGTTATTTTGATTCCTAGTATCATGTTAGGATGTTTTCCTTAATTTGATGTTTAGGGTGACAACAATAAATTCCATGTATCATGTCTAGGGTAACTTTAATATCAAGTATGATTAAAAGTATGATGCCTCCTATGTTCTTCCTAATATTTATGATTCCTAGTATCATGTCTAGGGTAAATTTAATATCAATTATGATTTCTATGATGCTTCCTATTTTCTTTCCTAGTAGCATGTT